GTCCCAATTTTCCCATTTCTTCCCCAACATTTATCATTTTCCTGTTTTGTCATGTTAGCCAATCTAATAGGTATGAGGTGGTGTGTCAGAGTTGTTTTAATTTGCATTTCTCTAATCAATAGTGATTTAGAGCATTTTTAAAATATAACTATAGATAGCTTTAATTTCTTCATCTGAAAATTGCCTGTTTATATTCTCTGACCATTTATCAATTGGGGAATGGCTTGTATTCTTATAAATTTGACTCAGTTCTTTATATATTTTAGAAATGAGGCCCTTATCAGAGACCCTGGCTGTAAACATTCTTTCCCAGGTTTCTGTTTCCCTCCTAATCGTGGTTGCATTGGCTTTGTTTGTGTAAAAAGCTTACATTTAATGTAATCAAAATCATCCATTTTTGCATTTCATAATATTCTCTATTTCTTGTTTGGTCATAAATTCTTCCCTTCTCCACAGATCTGACAGGTAAACTACTCCCTGTTCTCCTACTCTGCTTAGGCCTCATGAATTCTTATACTTTCCTTGTCAGGGGCGTGGTCAAGAAAGGCCTGGGAGTATCCTTATCAGTTTATCAGCCAGCATTTATTAAATACCTACTTTCCATCAAGCACTGTGCCGGCTGCTGAGGATACAGATGCAGAACAAAACACTCTCTACTCCTTACCTTCTAAGGCATAGGAATCTAAATTACTAGTAGCTAACATTTACGTGTGGCAGCTAGGTGGCGCCATAGTGCATGGAGCACTGGGCCTGGAGTCAGACACTGACTAGCTGTGTGACCCTGGGCAAGTCACTTCACCCTATTTGCCTCAGTTTCCTCATCTGTCAAATGAGTTGGAGAAGGAAATGGCAAACCACTCCAGTATCTCTGCAAAGAAAACCCTAAATAGGGTCACAATTGAAACAGACATGACTGAAAAACAACATTTATATAGTGCTTACCATGTGCCAGGCACTGTGCTCAGTATTTTATAATTTTTATCTCATTTTGTCCTCACAACAACCCCGTGAGGTGGGTGCTGTGATCCCCATTTTACAGAAGGGGAAATCGACATTAAGTGACTTGCCCAGAGTTACCCAAGTACTAAGTGTCTGAGGCCACATTTGACCTCAGATCTTCTTGACTACAGGCCCAACTCTCAAACTAATGCACCATCCAGCTGCCCCTAACTCTATAGAGTTAATTAGCATGAAGTCTCTGTCTCTGCCACTAACTAGCTGTGACCTTATGCAGTCTCCTCCCTTCTCTGATCTCGGTTTCCTCCTTTATTAAAGGGATGGTTTACCTTGCCGACCTCACAGGGATATGAGGTTCAAACCACTCCATAAAGGACTTTGAAAGAACTCTGATCAATGCATTGACTGATCATGATTCCTTCCGGGGGGCCGATGATGATGCCTACATGCCCTCCATTACTGAGAGGGGTAAGGGACTTGGCGTACAGGGTGAGACACAGAGTTCTGAACATGGGTAATGTGTGTTTGTTTTGGATAAGTATGCCTATTTGCCTTTTTTTTTCCAGTGAGGGGGAAGGAGAGAAAATAATTACTAAAATGAATGTGTACTAATAAATATAATGATCTTGACTATTAAAAATTAAATAAAACAATAGAATACAATGTAGATATAGTATATAATTAATAATATATCTAGTTACATATAATTGTATAATCAAAACACAAAATATATATCGATATATTATATATAGTATATAAATATGTAATATGTAATTGTAATTATATTTCACATATATAATTGTAATCTATAACAACAATATAATAAATAATTAAAGAATAATTAATTTTAAACATTAACAAAAAAAGAAAAACAATTTCTTCCCCAATGAAACATATGGAAAGGAGTATTTTTTTGTTTTTCAAAATTATTTTTATTGACATGTTTTATTTTTATATCTCATGAATTTCTAAATATACCACCCCTATGCCCTTCCTTATAATAAAGATTTAAAAAGAAAGGGGAGGGGGGAAGCAATTGGACAAAAGTAGCACATCCCCAGAGTTTGACAATGTATGTCATATTCCACACGTGCTATAGGGGAGCACTCTTACTGCAGGTCAGTCTCATTATTCTCACGTATCATGCTTCTCTCCCCAACTCTATCATATGATATTTCAGAGTAGGTATTTAAATTCTGAACTTCAAAAACACCAAATGTAAAGGGCATTTACTTATGTATACACACACACACACACACACACACACACACACAGTAGAGCAGAAAAAAAGGGTATTGATTGTACATGAAACTGCAAATCTCTATTATGTTCACTTGGCTTTTCTTTTAAAATTGGCAAGTACGGTATGGTATTTTCAAAGCTGCCTGGACTTCCTTCTGTTCTCTCCCATGCAATAACATCCAGCCTGAGCACTGGCACCAGAATGCAGATCACAAAGCCTTTGCCCTCCACTCTGGGTTAGGACAGTCCTCACCAGAGTACTAGACTTCATACCCGCTTGAGTTCTGTTCCCACCCTGGACACAACATGGGAACGGCAGAATACCTGAATGTCGTCCGTACCCACCCTACCTCCCGCAGTTAGCGAAAGACTAAGATAATTTAGAAAGTCATCCAGCAGAGGAGAAAGCCCCAAAAGGGGTGACAATGTTAACTGCAGCCTAGATATTTTTCTTCGAAGATGCACTTGGTCGTTGGGTTTCTTTGAGGCTATTTCTGTCCTCGAATCAGTGACAAAATGAATCAGTGCTCTGCTGGCCCAGAGAATTTGCTGGCATTCAGGCTGACTTGGCAGAGGACTGGTTTTGAAATGCAGTGCCTCCAAACTTTCTGGGAATTTCTTCCTTCTTCCCTGAGGTTGTTCTTTAACTACTTTGCATCACAGCAGCAGGGACCTATGTCTGTCACTAATTTCAAGGGTGATACTCCCACTGAGCAAATTCTACTGTTAAGCCCCCAGATTCAAATGATGTTTTCCTGGTCACTATAGACCACCCCCACCCCTGGCAAGATCTTATCATCACTGATGGGGACCTTAGAAACAGACCTATGGAGACTTTCAGGGACCTTGGGAAAGGTCCCCTATTCCCCCCAATTCCCGAAACTCCACTATCAGAAATTCACTCCTTTGAATTAGATTTTATCAACCAGTTTCCTTAGAGCAGGTTTTGGCAGAAGGAGAGGAGGGGACAGAGAAAGGTAGGCACTGGGACTGATGAATTAGGTTGCTACCAAAAAATAAACTTGGCCAAAGGTCCACCCTGTCTTGGAGGCAGCCCTCTTCTGAGACTGAGAGCGATCCCAGTGGCATATAAAGAAATAGATGAATTGGGTAGCTGAACGATTGAAAAACACTGGGCAGCACCCAGGGGCTCAGCACCTAAAGTGTATGTTACCAGTCCTTGTCCACCCATGAGGCAAGTGTCCTGTTGCAGTCTAGGGCTATTGGCCACATTTCTAAATGCTTCTCAACAGGCCTGTGAAGAAGTATGTTATATCCCCATTACACAGATGAGGAAATTGGGGGTGACTGATACTGGATCACAAAGCTAAAAGGTGTCAGAACCCAGGCAGTCTGACTCAAGTCCAAGGCTCTTTGCTACCTGTTTAGTTGAGGAACCCAGACCTCCCTGGATGTGTCCCCTACCACACAACTGTCTTCCTCTCTTCCTTGTTCTGTGGCATTGCTGAAAGTTTGGACCCTGCCTCCAAACACTGCCCCCCCCAGACTCATTCCTATGTCGGGGCGGAATCCTGCCCACTTTTAAGTGGCTCTGGGTATAAGATGGATTAATGATAAATTAAGCCAGGCTAACTAGTTAGTAAGGCATTGGGCAGCTAGGAAGCACAGTGGATTCTGGAGTCAGGAAGACTCTTCTTCCTGAGTTCAAATCTGGCCTTAATCACTTACTAGCTAGGTGACCCTGGGCAAGTCACTTAAATCCATTGGCCTCAATTCCTCATCTGTAAAACGATACTCCAGTAGCCTTGCTAGGAAAACCCCAACAGGGGTCACAGGTAGTCAGATGTGACTAAAATGACTAAACAGGAGGTCTAATAAGCAGTTAGGTACGCAAGAATGAATGTAGAGTCCTATTATTACGGTCTTGACAAAGTATTTAAAAATGGATTCATTAAATTGACCCTCTGGAAGCCAGGTGAGACACCTGAAGCCAGTTGGACAGAGAGGGTTTCTGAAACCAGGATTAAGGAGGGCAGTTACTTAATCATTCAGGTGTTTGCAGAGTCCCATTTCACCATGAGGATGGAGGTTGTGGCTGGAATCCCACAAGAAAAGTCCAGAAGACCCACCAAGGGATATAGCTCACAGTCAGTCATTTTGGGGATAAATGGAGTGAGAAATGTAAAAATCAGATGTTACTATAGTTGGAATTCAGAGCCCTCCACAATAGGGAACCACCCTACCTTTCTAGCCTTTTCTCATCTTATTTTCCTCCAAAAACTCTTGCCTCAAGCAAAATAGGACTGTTGGTTATCTTCAAATGGATCCTTCATGTTAAACAAGTCTCCTGTACTTGGAATGTGTTCCTGCCCCTCACACTTCCTGTGTTGAATTCCTACCCACCCACCCCTCAAAACCCACCCCAAATGCCCCAAGCAAGCTGGGGCTGATAGCCGTGATTCATCATGAAGGTGGGTGTCTTTCTCCATTGGAGAAATTCTGAACTTAAATTTTTTTTGTATCTTTCTCATGCATTTATCAGGTACAGTAAGTTCTGCTATCATTACTATAGCTTTGAAAATGCTAATTTGTTCCAATTAGATGGATATATTAGGGAATGATTTGAGCATAATGTAAATTTTGTATTCACTGATACATGATTTCATATTGGAAGATTTTAACCACCTGAACCGAGCCATACAGGAATACAAGACACATGCAAGTACCATTTACTTCTGTTCCCTCTGTGATATCCCAAAAGGCCATGTGTTGCCATTCTTTTCATTTGTAAACTTTTCTAGGTATATTAAAAAAAAAACCCACTCATTCAATATCCCAAAGACGTTAAGTGCCATATTTATTGTGTATCTCCTGGTGTCGTAGGAGCTATGGGTAGAGGAGGGTTGGTGTGGACCCACATACTCCCCTGCCCCCCTCCCCCCATGGTGTCCTCTTCAATCAACAGGAGCGCAGGCTGAGGAATGGCCTGAGGCCCTGGCCCTCACCACTAGTTACTGTAATGTTTACGTACCTAACCATTTAGCATGTCTAAAACCATGCTATCATTTTTATTTAGGTTTCTACCTTTTAAAAAATGCAATAGTGAAAAAGTTGTTGTGTGTTGTGCCCTGAAACCCTCTTCCCCGTAAGCCCTATGGTTTCATGTAGTTTTGCATGAAGGGGTGATCTTTAGCAATGCCCAAGTTGAATTACGGTAGAATTGCCTGGACTTTTGTGTCACGCGTCATAGTTCCTGCCCCCATTCTCAACTGTAAGCCTCATCAGGGCAGAGCCTGCGTCTTACCCACTTCTGGATTTCCTCCCCTGCCCTATGGTCCGTAGGGTTTATGATCATACACAAGGCACTTTTTGAATGGTGCTAGTTTCTCAAAGGTTGGAGAGAGGCGAGCCAAGAGAAACTGTATTACTCTTCAAATACATCTTCCCCCATCATGGCCAGGAATGTTTTCAATTTAAGAGAACACACAGGAAAGGGTACAAGCCACAACAGGCTGTCCTAGAATGCCAGAGGGGCTTGCTTCTGCTAGAATGCTGAAAAATCAGGAGGCAGAATTGGCGAGAAGGGCGAAATTGATGCAAACCTGCTCAATCACTGAGTTTTTCTAGGAGGGAGTAAGAGTAACTAAACCAGGGACTGGGGAGATGAATGGCTGGGCTGGCCTGATGTAGTTCAGGGTGATGGAAAGGGGGTGGGGGAGTGGGAGCCAGGAGGCCTGGCTCTGCCACTAACTGGCTGGGTGACCTCCAGTGAGGGACTTAGCTCTTCTGGGCCGAGGTTTGCTCATGTGTGAAATGACACTGAGTGAGACCATCACCTCTTAAAACGGGGGTCCCCGAGGCACTTCGAGGCCAAAACATCTTCATAGTAACTCTAAAATGTCTTAATTTCAAGTATGGCCAATGTCAATAGCTATAACCTATATAAACAATTGTTCTTTGGGGGTTCTCCATACTTTTTCAGATTGTAAAACGGTCCTGAGACCAAACAGTTTGAGAAATGATCTCTTAAGTCCATTCTATCTCTAAACTCTGTGATTCTATATTCAACTTCCCTAAAAAACAAACATAGCGCTCCAGGTTGATTCCGCCTGTGCCAAAGTGCCTTTCATCCCGGGGCTCTGTTTATCCATGCAGGGACTGAGACTGGGCCCAGGTATGATGGAGAGGCTACACCATAGTCTTGGGAAAGGGTCAACAGCTCTCCACCCTCTGTGTCCACTGGACCAGACTGCTAGTGAGGGTGGTCCCCAAGTACCACGTCATTTCGTGTGCCTGGAAGTCTGGTCTATGATCTGTGTGGCAAGAACAGTGATTTTGGGTGGGAGAACTTCCTGTCCATGTTTCTTGAGGTAGAAAGGATTTCATTAAGCAAGAGTCGATTAATCCAGGGCTTCTTAAACTTTTTTCCACTCGCAACACCTTTTCCCATTTCAGCAGCATGCCTTGGTGTTGTGTGGCCTGGCAGCATGCACAGGTGCAAAGCGCACGTGCTTCACACTGTGCATGCTCTGTGTTCAGAACCAAGGTGACAATGAAGTTGCCCGATGCAGCACAGGCAAGTGCTGCCAGAAACACCTCGGATTCATGATACGCTTGAGTTTTAATTAATTTTGGTTGCTGCACATTCAGAAACCTTTTACTGCTGCCAAACTTTTTGCGACCCCATGTGGGGTTTAACAAGCACTTCTTTAATCACTGCTTAGGCACCTCCTCCTTACCAGCTGTAGCCAAATAACACAGGAATGAAGGACTAAGTCCAAATCATTCGGGGAAAGATACAACTACATTATAAAGGGAAGACATCATTTGCATAGAACAGCATGTAAAATTAGAATATTTTTAATATGAACCCTTCCTGAATGCGGCTGAATTCTGATCAGTATTATTTACTTGAGAACATTTTGAACTATGTCTATCTAACTTTAGCCTATGTCATTTATACTTTCACACCTGGAAAACACATTGTAAATTAAGTCTAAACATGGAAAAAAATAATCCTACACTGCTCCATATATTCTCTTGAAAAAACGATCAAGAAAAACAAAACACCAAACCTTAACCAAAACTAACAGGAACCTAAGCAAGAAAGGAATTTGGAAAGGTCATCTGAAATAAAGGACAACTCAAAGATACCATTGCCACCTGGGGAAGAAAACTAGCCTTCCATACAAAATGAAGCAGCATTACCTGGAAAAACAAGGCATTTTCATGAAATCATTTTTAGAAAATGTTAAGAGAAGTTACTTCTCATTATAAAGTGCTGGAGAACAGGCCGAACACCTTTGGGCATCCTCGTGATGGCTGGGGGTCCGAGGCCATGCCACCCTCAGGTACCTTCCAGCAGGCGAGCGGCCTCAGAAGCCCAGGATGGACTCGTCCCACAACATCTCCTCCTCTGTCCGCCTGGGCAGGGGCTCCTTCTTCTCCTTCCGGTGTCTGCGGTCTTCCCTGTCAGCCGCTACGTCCTGGTGTCTCTTCTCTTTCCTATGCTTTGGCTTTCTGACACGGCTGCCATCTGCCTCTGCCTTCCTCCTTCGGATGGCCCTGTGGTCTCTGCCTGAGTCTTTGTCCTCCATGTTTTTCTTCCTCTTCTTTTCCTTGATCGGCCGGTCTTCTCTCTCCTCCTTGGGATGCCTCTTCTTCCTCTGGTGAATCACTTTTGGCTTTTGACCCGCGTGGCAGGAATCGGTGCTGTTGTCGGAGGAGACGCTGGACAGGCCCGAGTTACTGTCCTGCTGTGTGGGCCCCAAGGCCACTAATTTTTCTGAGAACTCTTCCTTGCTGGGCTGACAGTGGCCAGAAGTTCCAGCCTGAGTCTGCTGTTGTGAACTGGTGACCGATGGTGCAACGTGTTCTCAACCGTTCGAGTGAGGGCACACGTTCCTGGGCAGGCCTGGAAAGTCTCAGGTGGGAGTCTCTGCTCAAATGCCGCCAGCACACTTTGGGGCCGGGCAGCGAGCTCCTCCTTGTCCTGGTCCATCTCAAAGTGCTCCTCCGCCATCTTCCTAAAGTAAGTCTTGGGCTCCAGCCCACGGGCTTTCTGCACCTGGATGTAGTCAGCCAGCTCATCTTGGAAAGAGTGAAAGGCTCTCTTTGAATTCTTCATGAGGTTGACAACCAGGGATTCTCTGAGGGAAAGAAGGGGGAGAAAGGCTGTTATTGGGCTGCTTTGTTTAGAACATGTCCTTTCAAAAGTTCACTAGGCTCAAGGACGCAGTGGGAGCCAATGGGACACAGCTGGATTTGGAGCCAAAGGAGCTGGGTTTGAATGCCAGCTCTGCTGGCCCTGGGCACCTCACTTCCCTCCCCTCGGCCTCAGTTTCCTTATTTGTAAAAAGAGAGGGTTGGCTGGATGATCTCCAAGTTCCCTCCCAGCTCTAAAGCCTGCGTTTCTCAACCGAGATATCACATCCAGAAACAGGCCCAACCCCACTTCCAGAAGATGCCCCTAGTGTCTCCAGGGCACTCACAGACCCCGGAGTCCTCCCTTTGGGCTCTCCTCCCCAATCTCTGCTTAGGAGACACAACTGATGCCAGGATTTCCTGGCCACAGTGGAGACAGTGTGGTCCAGCCTCAGTCCTCAGGGCTCAGATCACTGTCAAAGGTTAGACTAGGGAAGGTACTTGGTTCATGGACCTCTGAAGACAGGCCTGAGAAAAGAGTCCTGGAAATTCCTATGGGGACGTACTATATGGCCAGGGACAAGGAATTTTGTTGTTGAAAAATTTTAGTTTACTAAGTTAAATAAGAATAATATGCATACTTACAGAAAAGGTACTCAGGGTCATCTCATCCTGTCTGTATCTGAAGTGCCCACCTCCTCTAAAACCTTCCCATAAACCTGTCTTTGCCTGAACACTTCCAGTGACAGGGAACTCATTACCTCAAAAGGAGCCCCGCCCCCTTTTCCTCTGCTCTACACTGAGTCCAGCTGTGCCCCTGTGGATGTTCACCTCCTCTGCTCCCATTCCCTCCCCTGAGGGCCAATCAGACTGTGTTATCCCCTCTCAACAACAATCTCATAAATGTTTGAAGATGGCATCATGATCCCCCTAAGTCTTTTCTTCTGAAGGTTAAATTCCCTGACTTCCTTCTTATTACATGGTTTCAAGTCCCCTTATGATACAGGTCATTTCTCTTTGGATAAAATAGCGCTCTTCAAGGTTTCTGAAATGTGCTCAGAGATGGACATTACACGCCTGCCCAGGACAGAGAACAGGGCAAGGATGTCTCCCCCTCCTTTGTGGCTGTCTTTCTTAGGATGAGGCCCAAGGCCACATTCCTTCCTGGGATGCCAAGCTATACCACAACATAGCACACCATGCCCCTCACACTGAGCTTGTGGGCCACCAAGCCCCCTGGGGCTTTTTCCTACAAAATGCCTGGTTGCATCGCCCCTCTCCTCTTGTGTAGATTCTGTCCATCATTCCAGCTGTTCAAATCTTTTTGGATCCTGAGTCAATCAGCTCTGGATCACCTTACCAATATAAGCTGACTGTACAGCTCCATTAAAGCACATGCATGCACTGGCTGAATTAACAAACATCTGGAGGGCATGTAAAAAAACATCCCTCCACGCACGACTTGAGGTGAGATGGAAAGATATTCTAGTCTCCTCGTAAGGGTTTTAATTTATTTCCCCTTCTGTGAACTAGGTGAAAACCAAAGTATTCAGCAGCCTTCTCAGCCTTGTTCTCACTCTGTCAGAGGGCTGGGGGACAAGGCCAGGGAAAAGGAGTGCAGCACTGGCAAGTTTCATAAGAAATCTAAACGAGGGCTTTTATAAAAAAACAAGCACAGCATAAAGAGAGAAAGACCATGGATTCACCCTGAAATGTCGAGGACCTTAATGCCCACGGGAAGGCGGCAGAAGCTCCCAGCAGACCCAGCCTGAGGGACGGGCCTGTCAAGTGCTCCGGAGCCACTGAGCATTTCTGAGTGGAGAGGACTCATTCTGATGCCTCCAGAAGAGACAGAGAACTGCAGACAAGACCAAGACAGCTCGCCAAAAAATTTAGCTCCCAAATTTAAAAAAAAATCAGAAAATACAAATTTCCTAATTAAAAAAAAAAGAAAGAAAACAGAAATGCTGTATTTTGATTTAACCACCACCATTGCAATACCCAAACCCTCCCGGTGCTGACTTCACTGAACAAGTCAGATTACCAGCCCCAGTCCCATGGCCCAGCCTGGCTGAGCTGGCAAGTGCGGCTGCAGTCAGCAGCCCGCCTTGCGGCCAAGGCCAGATGTTCTGGAAGCTTCTTTCTAGAGGCCACTGGGACGCGGGAAGCCAGGATGAGGATGAGGAGCCTCGGGTGTCTGGGGCCTGCTCGTGCAGAAGGAGCGTCTATGCACAGAGGCTCTAGTCACCCATGTCACAGGGGCATCGTCACAGAATTACTTACTTAATTTGATGTTTATTTCCTTGCATGTGGGACTGGTACATTTCTATGGATGTAAGGGTGATACTACAAATGGGACAGATGTAGTTACCCACACCAAGTGCTGAAAGAACACAGAATTCAGGTTAATGTCAGTATGCAGAGACATCAAAAAGAAACCCACTCGTTTGAGCCCATTACCAGGGACCTCTACCATGAGCCAGGCTGCCTAAAGGCGCTGCCTCAGACAGGCCAGCTCTGCCCCCGATGCCTCTCAGCCTGCTCCCCTTTCTAGGATGCGCTCCTGCTCGCCTCTCCTAAGCCCTCGGTGGAATCCAGTACAATCATCATCCTCTCCGGCACAGCTTGTGGGCAACAGACGTGACTGAGCTCAAGATCTCCTTGACGTCCCCAAGCTCAGGACAAGACAACCTGCTTTCAGAGTCTTAGAGATGCCCCAAAGATGATGAAGATGATGATGATGATGATGGCGATAATGAGACTAAGAAAGGAATCCTAGGCTGAGTGTTGGCTCCAGCAGGGTAGGGTGGTCTATCAGCTGCTTCCACCTCCCTGCTCTGCCACGGCCAGCTAAGACCACAGAACAGCCTGGAATCTAACGAGACCCCTGACTTCCGCTGCCTTTTCCTCTAAGCTGTCACTTCCTCCTTTATCTATTTTCTTTCTCTAATATGATGGTCTTTTCAGCTTGTCCCTTTTCCCTTATGCTTTATTATCCAGCTCCGCCCCCTACCAAAGCAGAACCTGAAACATTCCCCAAAAGGTTTAAAAAATACAAAATCCATTCAGGGGTCCTTGGGTCCCTGTTTGTCGTTTTTTTTCCTTCTTTTGTTAGGCAGTGGGGTTAAGTGACTTGCCCAGGGTCACACAGCTAGTAAGTGTTATGTGTCTGAGGCCAGATTGAACTCAGATCCTTGTGACTCTAGGGCTGGTGCTCTATCCACTGCTCCACCTAGCCGCCCCAGATCCCCGTCTTTCGCCAGCTGTTTCTGGCAGGCAGAACTCGCTAAGTCCAAGTACTCAATCAAGGCAAGGGGACTTAATCCTGTGCCCCTCCCCCCCAAGATTTTCATGCCCAAAGTCCCAAACAGCGAGCTCCTCCCTCCAGTCAATGGGCTCTCCCGTCTACCCTCTGTGATAGCCCCTGCTGTAGTGGAAGCAGGCCTGGGCTCTGCTCACAGCTGCCATCAACCAGCCTCCACTCATGGCCTTGGCTCCCTCATCTGTAAAACGAGGGGTCAGAATCAGATGGTCCCTAAGGCCCTCAAAGCCCTACAGTGTAAAGGTTTTAACAAAATTACTCAGGAACATAGGAACGGCTCAGTTATATCTGTTGACTCCCATGGGGCAAAATCTTCTTTTAAATGGAGGAGGGGGAGCTCAGCCAGAACCTAAAAGTGTTACTCTAATCAACCAGCCGCATACTGAAATAGTAACTTGTAAGAGAGTTCATCAAGAGATGATGAAGCTCACGAGCCATGCCCACCGACCTTGTTAAGAGGACAGAGTCTCAGTGGCTGGGCGTTGCCCCAAGATGAATTCTTTGGCTGAAGCAGCTTCTTAGTGGGGGTGGAGAGGGAGAGAGAAGGAAGAGGACCCAAGCATTTCTGAAGCTCCTACTACGTGCCAGGCACCACACTAAGCGCTTTACAAATACCGTCTCCTTTGATACTCCCAGTAGCCTTGGGAGATGGGTGCTGTTATTACCCTTATTTTGTAGTTGAGGAAATTGAGGCAGACAGAGGTGAGGTGACGTGGAACTCAGGTCTCCCCGACCGCAGCCCCATGCTTTGGTTAGCATGACGTCCAATGCGCCACCAAGTCTCTCTCAGAGGCTGGACTCCAGCCCCAATCTTGGGCGCCAAGAGGCGCCAAGGGGCAGAACTGTCCCAAGATGAAATGACTGGCTTGGACTGTTGGTAGGAAGCACCATTGGGGCGGAACCCTTGTCTCTACAATGGCCCACAAAAGCAAGCTGATACACCTCACGCTTTCTTTCTGACTTTTTCCTTCCACCATGTTTTGGGAGGATGGATCCTGAGAGAACCACAGGCTGGGGGTGGGCTGGGGTGGGGTGTGGAGAGGCAGGATTTCTTTGCCTCCCCCAGAAACTATTAATGAGGCACAGGCGACTATGCGTTCCTGCTCTCGTATCCCCAGGGGAGATCTTCTAGCCACTCCTTGCTTTTTCTCTTCTGAACACAGTTCAGAGACCACACGTGAGAGTGAGTGTTCCTGGCCCAAGAGATGGAAACAGGTGGGACAGCGGTGGAGTACCCTTAAGAAGCCCACTGGAGCCAGGTGGTCTCCTCTTGAGGAGGGTTCCTGGACAAAGCCCGTCCTGCATCACCGCCTTCTGGGCAGCACTAGCCTGGGGAGATGGAGTGGGATGGTGCCCCAGGTAGGAAAGTCCTGGAATCTGGCCTTCTGGACCAAAGGAAGGAGAGGGATGGATCCAGGTGAAGCTAACAACATGTGCGAGCAGTAGAGTAGGGGGAAATGAGCCAGCTGAGGCAGGCTGGCAGCAGTATCTATGAAGGACTTTGCTGGTGCCAGACTAATTTGTTTGGACTTGATTCTATCAGCACTTCTTAAACTGTGAGTCATGACCCCATCTGGCAAAGTAAAAGGTTTCTGAGTGTGCAATGACCAAAAATTAATTAAAAATTGAATGGGTAATGAATCCGAGGTGTTTCTGGCAGCACTTGACCATGCTGTACTGGGCAATTTCACTGTAGCCTTGGTTCTGAATACAAAGCATGCACACTTTGCACTGCACATGCCCTCAGACCACACAAAGTCAAGGAACATTGCCCAAATGGGAAAAGGGGTCTCAAGGGGTTGGGAGTGCAGAAAGTTTAAGAAATCCTGTATCTAGATCAGGAGGAGGAGGAGCAGGGCTGGGGTTAAGAGGGAGGCTGTGGCCTGGAAGGTAGAGGAAGGGGCAGAAATGGAGGTAAGAAGGCAAGATATCTGGTCTTTTGAGTCCAGTAACCTTTCTACTCCTCTGCTACTTCTATCTAGTAATCTTTTTATATTCAAGATTTTTTGGCCATTTTTTTGTATCCTGGCACTTAGCACATTATCTGGCACACAGCAGGCACTTAATAAATGCCTGTTAACTTGACAATGCTAGTGTGTTCCCTTTTAAGATTATTTCCCATCGACTCTGTCCATATCTTGTACATATAAAGTTGTCTTGCATGTTGTCTTTTCCATTAGACTGGGAGCTCTGTGCAGGCAGGGGTAGTTCTTCCTTTTTTTGTAAACCCAGTATTTAGCACAGTGCCTGGCACATAGTAAGGGCTTAATAAATGCATACTGACTCACTGACCATCAAAGGACACTAACTTAGAGAAAACAACAGTAATCTTTTTTAGGGTAACATAAAAATCTTTTAAAAAAATAATTTCAATGAAATTGTCCTATCTCAGAGCTGGATAGGATCTTGGGAGCCAGCTAGGCCAACCTGTACCAGAACCCAAATCCCCTCTATGACATCCCTTTGAGGCAAGGGGTCATTTAGTCTTCACTTGAAGACCTCTAGTGAAAGAGAACTCCTTGGTTCCGAGGAAGGCCATTTTACCTCTGGGCAGCTCTAATTAGCTCAAACTGTCTCAATCATATCTGCTCATTCTTTCCATGACTGGGATGTAATTCATTTGGGCCTAGTGATTGTACCCACAAAGGGCAGCTGGGTGTTTTCTTATTCTCTCCATCAATATCTTGGGTTTCCATTCCCTATTATCCATTTCTGTTTTCTCCTCTCCCACCCAAAGATCCCTTCCTGTGGTAGAGAAAGTAGTTAGGCTTGCCTTCTCTCCAGCATCAGTCAGCCAAGACCCATCAACCTTGACCAGTCGCCCAGTCCCTTCCTTTGATTCTCTTCTCCTCACAGTATGGAACTGACCTAGACTTCTGGCCTTGCTTCTCCCCTTCCTATCTTGTACATGCTTTGTGTTCCAGTCAAACTGGACTAATAGACTTCCATCTCGGCGCATTCACAGCAACAGGGCTCCACACTTGGAACGCCCTCCTGACCTCGTCTGCTTCGCAGAATCTGAAGTGTCACCTATGTGACCCCACATCTCTTTCCCAACTGGCTTTCTTCCCTTCTCAAATTACCTTGGCCTTACTTTTGGCATGTGTGTTCTATTTCCCATTAGAATGTGAGTGCCTCAGGCCAGGGCCTTTTTAAATTTGGGTCTTGTTTGTGTGTCTAGCACAGTCCAGCTTTGCACAAAGTGAGTGCCATTTAAGACGTGAGCATTTACTGAACAGATGAATCAACTGTAGTTAGAAACTGCAGTAGCCAGTTTTAGATGTTAGACTCAATTAGGGTTGTGGTATTGGGAACACTGAGAACAGGACAGCAAAGAAGCATCTCTAGGGAAGAACCAGTGGGCCTCATTGGCTAGGGGAAAGAGAGAAGAGAGCTGATCAGAGATCCTTCTAAAGTTTCCAGCCTGAGTGAATACAACAATGGTGGCCCCACCAACAGACTGAGAGGTTTGGGTGGAAGGGAAAGAAAATGAATTTAGTCTTAGAAATGCTGAATTTGTGATGACAGCAGGGCATTCAAGTAGAGATGTAAGGAAGGAGCTGGAGCTAAGAGAAAAGAGCGCAGGTGAGACCAAAGGGAACAAAAAACACAAACACATCTTCCACATTTAATTTCTCTGTTACGGCCAGTTCAGAAAGACAGATGGAGAAGAAAGAAACAAGGGAAAAGAGAGCGATGGACCGCGGGAGAAGAGAAGACAGAAATGTTCACTGACCAACGAGGAGAGAGGAAAGGGAGGCCCGGGCTGGCAGAGGGAAGGGAATACATTAGCAAACACAGCTTACATCTTCATTCTCATGAGGTCTCTGGGTTCTGAGGACGTTATACTTTCTATTCTGAGATCTGGCCAAGGCTCCTAAAAGCTCCTCCTCCCATGGGGCATCAATTTATATGCTTCCTAAATGCTAGACCCAGCACAAACCTATCTCACAAAACTTGGCGTTGTTCATTCCAAGCCTCTCAGGGCTGGTAACTCAAGAGATCTCCTAGCAGGGCCTTTCTAAAGGAGGCACACTTGATGTCTTCATCTTTGGACAGAAAAGTTTTGTACACAAATGGCAAATAGAGAATTAACACCCAAGCTCAGTAAAGTGAGAGTAAGAGAGCACTTGACTGTCCTGGATGAATTTGAACATCTGGTCCAGATGAACCACATTTATGGAACTGAAAGAACTCAAGAATGTGGTTGTCAAGCCAGTCTTGATCATGGAGAATGGGGAGGGATACCACAGGACTGGAGACTGGCAAATATCTCATTTAAAAAAAAAAAAGGTAAGAGAATAGAGTCTGTAACCAAAAGCCAGTGAGCTTCCATTCCTGGGAGATACGTGGCTTAGTTCAATTACTGGATGAATGGTCAAAGACGCTAGTGGTTTGGTGTCAATGTAGCAGGAGGTCTTTGGGGAAGTGCCCCAGGGATCTGTGTTCTTCAACATTTTTATCAGTGACATGGATAAAAGCACAAAGGGTATGCTCATTAAATCTGCAGATGACACAAAGTTGGGAGGGATAACAAACATAACAGATGACAGAGTGAGGACACTGTTGGGCAGAATCTCGTAAGATGAAACTGAATACAGATAAATAGAAACTCATACACTTGGGTAGAAAAAAATCAATGCCCAAGTATAAGACAGAGGAGGAACAGTTAGTAGTTTGTGTGAAAAAGACTTGGGGATTTTTGTATATAGCCAATCTAAGATGAATCCAGCGTGCTGTATGACAGTCCCCAACGCTAAGGTGGTCTTAGGCTGCATAAGAGAGGCAGAGCTTTAAGGATGAAAGGGGTGATCATCCCACTGTATCTACCCAGTCAGACCACACCTGTTGTGTTGTGCTTGGTTCTGGGGCCATGGCTTAGGAAAGGTACAGATAAGCTGGAGAGAATGAAGAGGGGCAAGAGGGATGGTGAAGGGTCTTGAGCTCACGCCAAATGAGGAAAGGCTGAAGAAGCTGGGGATATTTAGCTTGGAGAAAACTGTCTGAAAGACCATCATGTGAAAGGGAGAAGGAATTTGTCCTGCTTGGCCCTAGAAACAACAGCGACAAACTGCAAAGAAGAAAATCTCGACTTGATATGAGGAAGACTTTCCTAACAATCCCACGGGTGGGACAGGCTGCCTCCATGAGGCCAGGGCCCTCTTCACTGGAGGTCTTTAAGCAGAAATCTGGCGGAGCACTTATAAGGCACGCTGCAGTGAGGACTCTTTTTCAGGTATGGGTCAGACTACACAGTCAATGAATTCCCTTAAAACTCTCAACTTCAGCGATATCTCCAAAATTCTATGTCTAACTCACAAAACCCTAGCATACCTTTAGCATTTAGCTAAACCAACTTCCCTGAAGACAGAAGTTATTCAACAAATCCATTCTGGGGGGAAGAAGGTGGGTGACGAGAATACAGAAGGGAAGATACGACGCATAAGTGGCAAGGACGAAGCAGAGTGAATAAAAGAGCACGTTGGGAGAAGAGTGACCAAGTACCTCCTTGCTGTGCCTGGCACATTCCAAGCTCATTTCTGCCTTAGTGCCTTGGCTCATCATGTCCCCAGCGCCTGAGATGCCTGACTGTCCTATCGCACCTCTCCCAAGAGTTCACATCCTCCACGAAGTCAATCCTTCCTGCTTACAGGCCCCTACAAAGACTGTTTGCTTCTCTGGATCCCTGTCTGAGACAACCCGGCACCTGATCATCTGTCCCACACTGTCCTTTCGGGTAAACCTGGTCGATATAATCAGTTGATAAAGTTTTCTGAGGGCAGAAGAAGCTGCATCTGCTTGGTCTCCCTGAAACACCAACATAGTGGTGGGTACAAAGAAGGGCTTTCTACGTGAGGGTCAGCAACTTAAGAGTTGAGAGGCACCTTAAAAATCTCCAACCGTCTCATTCTACAAGTGAGGATACTCAAGTCCCAGAGAAATTAAATGCCTTGCCCTAGGTGCCATAGAAGCTAAATTTGAACCCAGGACCTCGGGCTCCAAATCTAATGCTTTTTCTGATGCACTACTCCATCGTTCCTTGTGCAAAACTTCAGATGCTAGACTACATGGGCTTCTCCTGCAGATGAGCGGCAAGGCACATGCATTTGCAGACGTGTGCTACGGGGCTGCTCTAGGGTAACCCTACTACTCACCGCTGCTCGTGGACTCGGCGGGGAGGGTCTCGTGCCCGATCTCTTCCAGGATCTTCTTGCGGGCCTCACTCCTCTTGTGCTTCTTGCCCAGGTAGTGCTGCTGGGCCATGAGCGGGCTGTTAAAGGATGCGCAACACAACTCGCAGTACTTGTCTGCATCCTTCAGATCCACGGCGGGGCCGCCACGGGACAGGGCGATTTCTTCCATCACCGCTTCTGGGGTGGCTCTGTCAGAAGTGGGATGCTGTGGCTCTGGCCCAGCACAACTAGCAACAGGAAGACCTGCTGAGAGAAGAACAGCCTCCTAATGTCTAGACACAGCTATAGAAAATGGGATAAAATAGAATTTTAACAGAAAAATCTATTTTCATAGAGGTGACAAACACTTGTTCATGTAACATATTTAAAACATTTCTACATCAAGAGAACTCTTCAAAAATCTGCTATCCTTAGTATGTCCACTCAAAGCCACCAAGTAGGATTAGTAAGATCAGAGTAAATGTGCATGTTTACCAGTGTGTGCGTGTTGGAATCCAAACCTGGTCACCATGTTTTTCTGTGCAGAAATGCTTCCAAAGTCTTGGTATACAAAAAAAAAAATCAGAGAAAGCTAAGCCCAGCATGGCAAGCTGACCACTGTGACACCTCCTTCTTGGCTCACTCTTAATGGCCAGGGAATCAGAGTCTATCTGGAAGAACATATTATGTCACTAATTCATCATGGCTTGTTCTTTATTTACTTCGGGGTGAAAGCCAAGCAATTACTTAATACCACTCAAACTATGTATTCCCAGCCCCACGTTATTTCAAAGTTCTTTCCACCTACTTCACTGAGGTCAGCTCATTCAGCCTAGGGGACTGAGGTTAGGGCATCCTAACTCTTATGGGAGATTCTGATTTTGTTAATCTTTCGGTTGATTTGCAACATGCTCTAAGAGAACTGGTCCGCTGTCTCATGATTGCAAAAACTGACCCTAATGAAGAATCCATTCTCAGCATAATACACACGCTAAAATTAATCATAAATTTTGTACAACCTGATATATATATTTTGGGAGACTGTTCTAACATAAATATTTGGTACTCTGACATCTTGCTGATGGTATACAAAGCTTTTCATGGCACTGGTTTCAGCTTGGCAACTTGGCAAAAATGGAGTATGCTACATTGGTGAATAATTCATACTGGGAAATGAATTGCCTTCCTCCAAAGAAGGGCAATCAGTAAGAGAGTGGTGGATTACTAGCTACAGAGATGCCCAATCACTATCTTTCTAACAGGACCCAAGCCTCCAATTCTGCTCCATTTCAAAACCTGGTCTGGATGGAGTTCCAGATTTCCATCCACTTTCAGAATAAATGTCCCCATTTTTTCTTGGGTTCTCTTAAGCAGTCTCTCACAGTATATTTCACATGTTCTGTCTCCCCAACTAGACTATCAAGCCCCCCAAACAGGGATCTTATCTTATGATTCTCAGTGGGTGATTAATAATTGTTTGCTGTTCATAATGATATACCTATTCTGGATCTTAACAGGGAAATGGAGAGCTCTCTGCTAGCTGGATAGAAGGAAATCTACCTAGGCTATGCTATGGCCATACCATTTTATAGTAAGGGTACTGGCTGAATATGGTATGAAGCAAAGGAAGGTGTAGGAAAGGAAAAGAAATGAGATTAACAACAGAGAAGGGGAGAGATTGATAATGCTTTATGATTTAATTTTGATCTGCTGTTTAAATTAGAAGCAGGGAGAAAAGGAGCATGGCAGGGGTAGGCAGCTTGCTGTCAGACGATGGCCAGGTGGCCAGGTGGAGCAGAGCTAGTTCACTAGCTAGTTTTGATTTGGCTTTATTCAGATAAGAGGCCCAGGATGAAAAGGGAGGTCATGTCCAATGGGCAATCATACTCTCCAAGTTCAACGTTAGGGACACAGAATGAAAGTAAAGAAGCAGGAGAGGAGCAATGAGTCCTTTCAAAAAGATACTTCCCCACAGGGATGCTTCCAGAACCAAAGATGGAGGATGGACTTTGGAAAACAACAGTTCAAGAACACGAGGAGCATGGAAGATAATGAGGTGAATGGAACCTTACCCTTGTCTGGCTGAGCGCTTGGTGGAGACGTCTGAGCATGTTCTCCCATGAACTGCTTCAACTTTTTGGCATGAACTTTCCCCAAATAGTGGGACTGAGCAGCAACTGGGGAACTAAAAATCATGTTGCAGAGCTCACAAAATTTGTTTTTGTCCACCACTCCACTCCCATCCGCCTGAAATCAAGCGCAGTCTCAATTACAAAGATTCAACAACTCGGAGCCTGTCTAACAACACAACAGTATCGCGGGCACTCACCTGCCGGGCCACAAAGTCCAGCTGCCCTCTTTTATCAGTGCCCTGGGCTTCACTTTGTTCCCCGTGAATTTGGAAATAAAATCTAACCTTTTGAGCATGCTTCTTGCCCTGGGAAAAGAGATGACAGAGCTCGGTGAGAAAGCCAAATCTGCTCTGCGGCCTTGAGTGGGGCAGGGCTCAGGAGCAGGGCAGGATGCTCAATCAGGACGAGCTGGCAGGGAGCCTTTCGCTGGCTTTCCAGTCTCTACCTCTTCATTAAATAAAGCCCCGCACCACAGTTTGGAAGCTAGCAGTTCTCAATGACCAGCCTGTCCATCTGGAACTGACAAGAACAACCACAACAGCACAGTACCCCACAACCCAACATGGAAACGTTTCTAAGGGTTGGATCTGGGGCACGTTTTTAAGCCAGTGGAAAATCTGGCACTGTTTCTCTGTGACTCGGCGGCATTCCACTCCTCTCCCAGCCTCACTCCAGCCCTGGACACCCCCTCTACCTGGCGGCCCTTCCCTTTGGCTGGCTGGCTCCTGGGCCTCCAGTGAAGAGGGTACCCAGGCTGGCCAAGGCCTCATTCCTCTCCAGGCGACTTCTCTCCTATTCCCTTACTCCCCTTCTTTTCAGTTCCCTTTTACGTGTTCTCTTCCTCCATCTGAATGGAAGCTCCTTGAGGGCAGGGACTATCTTTCTTTCTGCTTGTACTTGTAATCCCAGCCCTTAGCACAGAGGTTGGGACATGGTCTGAATACCTAAAACCAAAACATCCTCAATAACAACAACAAAACTGGCCTAAGCAGACCTTTGGCCTAAATACAGTTGAATGAAATAGATGCCACATGCTTTTGTAGAGCATGCAGCAGCGCTGTCTGTCCACCAAAAGTTCTAGGCACAGGATCCCAACCAGCAGAAATGGGAGGCAGCCAGCACATGTTCTGTCTTACGGGATGTGGACGTCGCCAGGGGGCTGGTCTCCTCTGCTGGCCCCGTGTAACTCTTCACAAGCATGTCTATGAACAGGGGAGTGACTTGAGACCATCATGAAATAGGAACAACTAGAGCTGGAGTTTCATTGTTGTCCCTCCCTGGGTGGCCATGCTGTGGTTCTGGGTAAGACGTGTCACCTTTGCGGAACTCATTTCCTCCTTTATAAGGTGAATGGGTTGAACTGGTTCCTTCCCTCTCTGTCTGAGTGTAAAGTCAGAGCCCTAAATCAGGTACTCCACTTAAACTTCTCTTGTGTTTGGTGGCCTCTCCCTAAGAAGGCTCAAATCATGTCTGTGAGTCTACCATCCAATGACGAAGCTAAGAGTTTCCCCTGAGGTTCCTAATTTCTCACCTGTTTTTTTCCAGGGACATAAGGGTAGGATGGCTTGAAATATCATGGAAATAAAAAAACCCCAACCTAGTTTAGGACACAATTCCTCTTTGCTTTCAGCTTACCTCATAATGTGAAATCCTTTGGGATTCAAACTGTAGCATCGCACTACAAACTTTACAAAAGTTGTCTGTAAAAAGTTCGTTCCTTTTATGTTCATCCAGAATAGCATCTATAAGCACAAAAGGGAAGGGGGGGAGGGGGAGTAAAACAGGGCATCATGGGAACAGACCATGGAGGTTTCTTCTCTTTCCCTACTAGCTGCTACAGACTACCTCAACTCAAAAAAAACCCACCAAAAACAAAAAACCCCAAAACCAAAACAACCCAAGAAACAAAAAACAAAAGCAGTACAAAGGTTTTTCTTTAAAAAAAAAAAAGATAGGTAGATTTTGTTGTCTGCTTACAAGGCTACTGGCACACTTTATAAATCTCTTAATACCAGGAAGCAAAATGCTAAAGAAAGGGAAAGGGAAAGCCATGGTACACTAATAGGTGGCAGGAGGTTATGGATGCTGACCTCTGGGTTTGAAAGGTTATCACAAAGGCTGGCTCTGTTACCTAATCTACATGACTCCCCAAACCCCACCCCCCTCTATACAAGTGTGGACAGTGCTTTTACATCTACCCTCACATAAGAAAACTAGCACACTGGAGTTGAATAGCACAGAACAACTGATGATTTGTATTCTTAGGCGATAATTCTGACTTGGGCTCAGAAAACGGGGCGTGAATGTTTGTGTTTCCCAGCAGAAGACCAAACTAAATGCAAGATATATATTTTAAGACAGTCACAGAGTTCCAGGTACTCCACCACCCATTACCTGAAAATCACGAGGAACCACAAACCTACTTCAAGAAAGGTGGGCACACATCCTCCGTAGCTGGCACAAACATGATACCACCCCTCTGTCACAAACCAATTTTCCCACTTGAATATCAAAGCTACAAAGTACAATTCATTTTTAAGATGTGCAAGTTATACTACAAGATATCTCACTGTGGGGGCAGTGAGGTGGAGCAGTGGATAGAGTACCAGCTCTGGAGTCAGGAAGACCTGAGTACAAATCTGGCCTCAGACACATAACACTCACTAGCTGTGGGACTCTGGGCAAGTCATTTAACTCCAACTGCCTCACCAAAAAAACAAAGATCTGGCTGTGGACTGTCATAACTTACCGAGATAAAAATCTGAGGACTTATCTTTGGGATCTACATTCCCAGTCTGAGCTCTGATAGCTAAAATCTGTCTTGTGAGAACTTGCCAGTCCAAGCTTGAGACATAAAGAAAGCATTCAAAGTCTTCTATAACATACTGTAAATACTTCAATGTGGGGTGTCTGAGAAACGATGCTGGGCTTGTACCCTGGCTGTGCCACTTACTCTCTGTGCAACTGTGGGCAAGTCACTCATCTCCCCTGTGCCTCAGTTTCTTTATCTGTACAATGGGTAGTTTGGAACAGATGGTGTCTGAGGCCCCTTTAGCTCTAAATCGATGATGATTCCATTGCTATTTGACAAATACTGACCACTCCCTATGTGCAAGGCCCTGTACAAGATGTTATTGGGAATACAGAGGATAAGATGTGGCCTATAATCTCAAGGAACTTATATCCTAACAGGAAGGTGAGATGTGTAACCAGTTCCTGTAATGTAAGGTAGAAAGTGAAGCAACAAAGATGCTCTGAGAGCTTAGAAGAGGAGGAGATTACTCCTCGAAGGGGGATCCAGGGAGGCTCCATGGAACAGACAGCACTTGGACCGGGTCTTGAAGGAGCAGTAAGAAGTAGCCTGGAGAAGCTGGGGACAAAGACATATCGGGGAAAGGCTCTCCAAGCAGAGGGAACCCTCTAGGACATGTTCATACAACTATGTTTCACAGCATCACTCAACGGAGGAGAGATTCACTTGGTAAATCCCCAAAGTTTGAGTCCAGTATAAACACCTGCCTGAGCTATATTAGAAATCATTTAATGAGCTGTTTTGATTCTTTCCTGGTGTTACGGTGGCACCCTTGATTTACTTTGAACAGCTCTTTAAAAACATGCATATTAGTGCAACATAAGGGAAGGAACACCCAATTAGGAGTCAGGAGACCTGGTTCTAGGCCCTGCTACACCAATATCTCTGTATCACCTTAGGTAGGTCATCACTGCTCATCTCTGGGCTTCTGCACCTGAAAAAGGTAGGGTTCAATGGGACGATCTCTAATTATCTCCCACCTCTGCTATGCTAGGAACCGTCCTATCATTGTCTCTTGGGACAGCCAATTGAAAAGGCTGACTAGAATGGTAACTCCTATTTCAGATCTTCTCCAGTGTCAGGCTGAAGAAGTGAAACTTGATTTGCCCTGGAGGGCACAGACTGCAAAATTCCTTGAAAACTCTCTATCAAAAAGAGGTAAACACCTCCCCCTGGTGACTCTCAAAACTTACTGCAGAGGTAAATATTTAGAAGCATGTTCATGGAAATGCAAAGGAAACAATCAGTTTTTGAGAGGCTGGAGAGCAACTAGAATTGAATGCTAAGCAGTCATCAGGCAAAGGACTGGGCAGGACCAAATGGGCCGGCAGTGAGGAGGGAAGGAGTGTTGGCTGTGGGCCTGCTTCCCAGGCTGGGATCCTGTCTTTGCAGCGTGTGACACTGGGCATGGCACTTCCCCTTGCCAACCTGTTTTCTCACCTCATGAGAGGTCTATGAACCCCAAATAACTACAAATAACGTTTTTACAGGTGAGAAGGCTGAAGCCCAGAGGTAAGTGAGTTATCTCAGAAAACACAGTCCCAATCCAGTGTGCTGTCTATTACACTGTGCTGCCTCATCTTCCCCCACCCAAAGGCAGTTCCCTTTGGGGGGTCCCTATCTCTGTAAATTAGTTATAATCTCTGGCTGGCAGAGACCTCCTTGACCACCTTCTTCACCCACATCTAGTAAGTTACCATGTCCTAACAATTCTTCATAGACAGGCAGTAGAGCCTGGGAGTTGGGCAAACCTGGATTGATGTGATATATCTGACACTTTATGTGGCCTTGGATGAGAGGTGGGTGGGGGAAGGTGACATGGTCAGACCCAAACCTTAGGAAAGGTGACCTTTAACCTCTACCTCACGGAACAAGCTGGGACTCACCCCAGTTCCACTGAATGGGAAGTCTAGGCATCCTTCTCCTCCCTAGCACTTCCATTTGTATGACATCACCATGTATTGTAACAGCTCCCATGCCTCCCTTTTCTGTCTATCCCTCCCCCAGCCACTCCTGCCAAATTCACCTGGCTGAACTACTGCTCTGCACATGGCATTTCCACTGCCCAGAGAGCATCAGTGTTTTCCTACAGCTCACAGGTAAAGCCCAAATGCCTTACTTGGGCATTCAAGGCCTTTACTCCTCCTGGCTGACGCAATCAATCAAGTATTGATTAAGGGCTTATGTTGCCTGGCACTGTGCTGAATACTGAGGATACAAAGAAAGGCAAATCCAGCCTCTGCCCTTGAGAAGCTCTTACTTTAATGAACTGGGCACATCCAAAATGCCTACAGCCTGCTGAAGGGGGGGGACTAGAAATGAGTCATGAAAGAAGCCAGGGAGATGAGGAGGGGGCACTCCAGATTCGAGGTGCAAGGACATGGAGTAGGGAGGAGTGATGGATGCGGGGAAGAAAAAGGGGGCCAAGGTAGCTGGACGGTGAGCACATGGAGGGGAGTAGTGTGTGGGAAGGCTGGTGGGAGGAAGGGGCCAGGGTGGGAAGGCCATTCCATGCCAGAGGCCTTTGTCTTTCATTCTGGAGGTCAGAGGGAGACAAGTGGTGTTTAGTGAGGCAGACAAGGAGTGCCATGTGGCATAGAACCCGGCCTGGGCCAGGAAGCCCTGAGTTCAAATCCAGCCTCAGACATTTCCTAGCTAGGTGACCCCGAGCAGGTCACTTCACATCTGTAAAATGGGGATAACCATGGCACCTCCCTCCCAGGGCTGTTGTGAGAATAAAGTATTTGTATATCACTTGGCAAACCTTAAAGCGCTATCTACATGCTGGCTGTTCTGAAATCAAACATCCTCTACGAGGCTCCATCTGAACGCCCCTCCCGGCCGCTGTGCCCTTCCACCATCCTATGCCCTCACGTGCTGATGGGCTGGACACCTAGCTTTCTTCCACCTACGGGTTCTCTTTCCAATTAGACTGTAAGCTCGGGAATAAGAACGGTGCCTTGGGCTTCACTGCGTCCTTCACACCCAGCGCAGTGTGTCTGTGGAGGATTATACCCAAGAACCTTTTTCTTACCATGGGGGTTATGATTTTACAACAAGCGGAAATGCCCTCTGAAGAACAAGACAGGAGACCCTGGGACGCTCTTTCTTCCTTCTCATGTCACTGGTGGAAGACATTTGGATAGAGGTACATGAAGTGGAAATGACATCCTGATTAAGGTTCTATCTCCTGTTCTTTATTTAAAGGAACTGTCCCCTGTAGCTGCCCAACAGTAATGATTAGGATTTAAACTGAGTAGAATGTTTGGTTTTATTTGAGGGGCAAGAGGGTCCAGACCTGAGAGGGTGTTCCAGTGTGTGAACTCCCTTCACTGATACAGGTCAGCAACTTATCTGTAACTTAGATAGACTTAGTGAGAGCCTAGGGCACTGGAAGTAGAGATAATTTGCCCATGGTCACACTGAACCCAGGTCTTTCTGGTTCTATCCACTACTTCATGTCACCTCCTTGCTAATAATTTGGATCTTTATTACCTTTTTCTCACTTCTATAAAGAAAATAAAGTTTTTCTGTGCACATGCATTTCTTATGTCCCAAGTCTACACTGCCCTCCACCTTCTCTAAAGTTATCATTCACCTATCATAAGGTAATAGTGGAGAAAACTGTGTGCAGAGAACGGTTAAGTGACATATGCAGGGTCACACAACTGCTGAGTACCTGGAGTGGAATCCGAACTCAGGTCTTCCTGACTGCTGCCAGTTACTGCTCAGTGCCCTCTGGTGCTCTGTAGCTGCCTCGATCTACCACCCTCATCTACAGAGGAAGGGGCTGGCCCAAGTGACCCTTAAGGTTCCTCTGAGCTCTACTATTCTAGGATGCCTCTGCTAAGGAACAGGCAATAAGGAGCACCTCTGATCACATGCCCCTGGAGGCCCTGGGTGGGATTCATTTACAATTCTTAAATTGGT